ACCATTTTCTGGTGTAAAATTTGGAAATATACAAATAAAAAATAAACTGCAGGGTTGCACTTATGGTATCTAAAAAGGACGCCAGTCGCAAAATCTTCGACCCGGCTCGATAGCCTCTTGCCCAACTGAAGAGAAAAATGGAGGGGGGGGAAGGAAGAGGGATAAAATGAACCAGGATTATAAAAATCATTGGGCAGGGTATATATCCGGGGGGGTTAGGCAGGAAATAGACTTTATTGCGGTGGACAAAGTGGAGCGTGGACGGGGGGACCAAAAATTGCTGTCTTTTAGGAGATGACTGAACCATTTTTTTTTTCAGCACCCTTTTATATTTGCATCCTTGCGAGCAATTCATTTTATTATTCTTTCATGTCGTTGCCATTTTTAAGGTTAACATGCATGTCTGGATTGGTGGTGCATTAATTGAAAGTTTCTCCTCCGCCCACCACTGCGCATAGTGATTGTACCTTGTTGGTACTACCGCTAATACCCCCAGTCCTGCTCCGCTGCACTCGCTCCACTTTCGAATGCTGTCTCTCGTCTTACCAAGTATCATCCGCGAGAAGGACCTGAAAGGACATGATAAATATTGCCCCTATCAGGTACACGCCTGACCACAGCGTTATCGAGTTTCTAAATGTCTGGTCCAGACGATATTCATCGTTCATATTTTTTAAGTCATAACTGAATAGTCCCTTTCCCCCACTTGACCAATACGCCATGAACAGAAAGGTTAAGGCAATGAACTCCAAGAAAAATCCGATTCGCAGGGTCGTCCCGAAAAACCCACTTATTTGGAAACATGGTCCTCTATTGGTGTGACAGTTGTCATCAAGACCGTCTTGTCTGGTCGTGAACCACATCTTGACTTAGCTTGTTTAACTGGACTGGGTTGCTGGTGTCACTGAAATTGTCTTACACCCGTGTCTTTAGCTCAGGTGTACTTACTCTTATGATTATACTTGCACTTGTGTCTACACTTGCGCGCGCGTGTGCATTCATGCGATATAGATACGACTTGTGCCGCCTCACCTTTCGCTTTACTTTGTGTCTTATTCCCTCTTTCTTATTTTCTTTTTCTGTGCTAACCCACAGGCTGCTCTTTCACCGTACGAATAATTTTCAATTGTCAATCGTCAATCCTTTCAAATGTGTCACAAAAAAAAGAAAAAAAAATGTATATATATATATGTACATAAACGGAATAGCAAAGCAGTAGCATAAAATGTGGAAACGAAAAAGTTTGCACTCATAAACCTGATGTTATATACATCCTTTATTTTCACAAATAAAAGGCGTTTATCATTCGTGCAAACTTCTATTGTGTATGCACAGATATAACCGCTGTGAACTGCGAAACAAAAAAAAAAAAAAAAAGTGAAATGCAGCGAAATGGCGCGAGTGTGACGTACAAGTAGCGCAGCAATGACTTGGGGATGCACGCACAAAAAAAAAAAAAAAAATTACGTCACAGAGCGCAGCGGAAATAATTTCAAAATTTAAAAAGTGCAAAATTTATTTTTACTAACAATGACAACAAGGAAGTATGTACTTAGTATGCACATATATACACTCGTGTGAATACATGTGTACATTTAAGCGGGAACACAAAGGCATGTGTTTACACGAATACGTTCTTGTGCACACTAAAAGTGTAACTGCGTTTGCTCGAGAGTAATCATTTGTACACTCCTCTTTAAAACTGTTAGCATGATTGAAAAGAGCGTGTGTCGCGGGCGGGGGAGCGGCGTAATGGACGCGGTGGACACAATTAGCGATGAAGTGGACAACGAAGTGGACAATGCAGTGGGCGGAAAAATGTTAGCAAAGACTAAAAAGAAACATGGAAACCTACATGCACATAATTAAAACTTACTCTTGTAATTATGTACCAAACAACAAAGTCATTTTATAACTTTACGTTACGCAAACATAAAAAGTGGTGGTAATTGAATGACGGAAATTTGTCAAAGGTCTAGCTATTTTCCAAACACGCGAGGAAAAAAAAAAAAAAAAAAAAAAAAAAAAAAAAAAAAGCGTAACACATGTCATCACGTGTATGTATATATATATATGTACAATCTGTACGATACCTACTGCTGAGTTTATAAAGATACAAAAATTGCCACTAAACAATGTGTAATCATTTATTTTTTCTAAAAAAGGGGAAACTCGTTTTTGTTGACTTATGTATATACATGTTCATATTTCCACGCGCGTTACTATTTTCTGTTCGCGTTTCCCCATGTACACATATTTCACCCCATGCGTGCACGCGCATATTTACATTTCCGGAACGATCAACATGCGTAGAAATAATGTCCCGCTGAACTCTGTGTACATTCGTGAACGAATGTAATAATTTGCGCGTTTCAATAGTTTGTGAAGTTTTTGCTAAGGTCAGCACAAAGTCCAAATTGATGCGTACTGTTCCTTGTTTTGGTACTTTGTTCTGTTTTTTTTTTTTTTTTTTTTTTACGTCACTCTATTGCGTCACTTTTTTGCATCATTTTGTTACCTCTTTTTCCTTTTCCTTTTTTATGTCCCCCTCTTCGTGTGCATGTTCCTGTGGTGAATATATTTCCGCACGTGCGTAACCAAGTGCACACGTACATATTTATGCGTAAGCGCGTTTTTGCCCCCTCTGTTGCTTCTTCGTGTTGACTTATTTACCCCCTTTTTTTTTTTGTTCTATCCCAGGTGGTCCCATTTTTTTACAACACGTAACCGGCAAAGCTGGAATGAATAAAAGCCTAATGGCAAATGTCCCTGTTGATAATCTGTTTAGGTTATTTTTTTTTTACACCCCATTTATGTCTTTTTGCACGTCAAGTACACCCTCTTGAGACGGACACCAATGTTGGATCGTTACACCGCGTTGAGGTCGCAGGGATGGGTATGTCTCACTGGCTCCGCCTGCACTGCGGCAAGTACGTTAAGAGCGTAGTCACAATACGTTCAAGTGTAAAAACCTTAAGGGAGCGAGCCCGCACCGTCTGCGCTGCTGGAACATAGAAATATTGTTGCAACCCTTTTTGAACTTAGAACTACCTGCCCATCAGCAGAGCACTACCGCGCTGCAACACAATTAGGGCAATTATGTGTTCACGTCCGTTAGGCTCCCCGTGCGAGCATCCTTCATCCGCGGTACTAAGCACCTACAAGCAGTATACACACAGTACACCTGTAGAACTTTGCTTGTCCACACCGACGTTGTCTTTTTGCAGCTCATAAGGTACTTTACACGTGTAGCATTTTCGTGCCCCATGGGACACTATGCACGTGCACGCTTCGCAGAAATGAAAAGTAACATCCCTATAAGACGCATCAGCGCATTTTTAATTCCTTTTCACATTACACACAAGTGATGTTGGGAGTGAGCGTCATATGGTGGGCACCTGACCGCGATATGTTTTATCATGGGGGACACATGCCCTCAAATGTTACACGCAACTAGGAAGCAGTCGTATGGCAATTACAGCCATAACGCATGTGAATGAGTATCACTTGCGTGTGTAGTCGTACGCGTAGCAGCGTCTTCTATGCTGTTCCCTCATCGAATGACCCTTCTCTTAACGCCCCCTTAAAATAACAGCTTTGTTCGATGGAAGGCGTGCATTTCAACCCACAAGGAGAACATACTTAATGGGGCTAAAAAAAAACACACAATAGGATGAACATTCTCCGCTACTCATTTTTTATGTCGCACAAGTTGGGCAATTTCTTTCTGTTCCAAGGTATATAAAATGTGGATGATGGCACAGTTATACACTTATATATATGTATAGGGGTGGTGGTGGTGAAAAATGCTTCCTCCTTTTTGAGTTTCCTTTCCCTCTTTATATTTTATATCCCCTATCTGCAAGGATAACTGGCCAATCCTTTGATCTACTGTTTCACGTTCACAACAAAATAATTCTCACACGTTTAAATCTACGCTTGTAAGTCCAACCAATTATCATTGCACTTTCGTTCCTCAAGTGCGATTCACAACAGTTAGCGGGTAATAATTTTTTCTTTTTTTTTTTCCAAGCATGGGTATGCCTACGGAACACATTTTCTGCATCGAGGATGTCCGACCCCGTTGTTTTTTAATGCAGCATTATGTTGCATGTGCGCCAAGGGGGGCATGTCGTGTGAAGGTACCAGTCCCTCTTCACATTCCTCGCATTTTACTTTGCTAACCGCTTAGAAAGTGAATAATCGCTACAGGTTTATTGAATAATTTTTTTTTTTTTTTCAAAATTAACGCAACGCCACGTAACTCGTTTTCCCTCGGCGAAAATGTGTTAACTCCGGGGACCTCTTTTCCCCCCCAAAAAAAATTTCAAAAGAACCACGGCAGTTCATATTTTTTTTACGGTTAACAATTTTGTTAAAATTAAAGTGAGATCTTTTCTATGTGTTGTGAACAGGTACACTCCTCTTGTGGAGAGAAGGAAAGGCTGCAAGGTGTTCCTTTTTCTTCTTCCAACTGGTAGATGCGTGTACACTTAACGTCATTTTTTTACGTAACAGTGGGTTCAGGAAGGTCCTATGGCACGTGCACCCTACGGTAGCAATTGTGTTAAATTAGGAACGATATATATCGCTTGCATAGGCAAAAAATAGGGTTCATACAAAGAAAGCTGCAAGGCGGATTAGGAACACACAAGTCAGAGAAATGCACATGGAGTGTGCACACTTATCGAGTGGCCAGTAGGACCAACTTTTGATAGAGACCATAAACTCGTTTCTTCACAGTTGGTCCTGCGCAAGGCACAAATTTAGGTTGCCAGGTATATCTCTCCCGTATGAAGCCCTCTGCTTACAGTGCAGCCCCAGTTGATCTGTCCATAAAAAGAAAGGGGAACAAAACACCACATAGGTTCACTCACAACGTAGGAGATAAGAAGCCATAAACAGAATGAACACATCAAGGGGGGGTTAGAAGCATGCGTGAAACTCTCCAATACACAAAAGGGCCAAACGAGCAAGCAACACCTCGCCCCTGATCAAGCATGGAGAAGTCCAGGAGATACGCGAGTCTGCTCAAAATGATCGCGCGAAACGGATTCCAAAAATACCGACTGCAGCAAATACTGGATAACATGTACAAGGCAAAAATTACCACCGTAAGTAAAATGAAAAATGTTCCTACTAATATAAGAAGAGAAATGAAGAAAATCTTTAATGAAAATTTGCTAAGTATAAAACCTCTGAAGGAGTACAAATTTGATAGAGCATACAAGGTCCTATTTGAGTGTAAGGATAAAGAAAAAATAGAAGCCACCTCTTTAGATTTTGGCTCTCACAAATCCTTGTGCATATCAAGTCAAATAGGTTGTTCCTTTGCATGTAAATTTTGTGCCACTGGTCAGATAGGCATAAAAAGGCAACTCGAATTAGACGAAATAACAGACCAGCTTTTATATTTTCAATCAAAAAATGAAAATGTAAAAAATGTCTCCTTTATGGGAATGGGCGAACCACTAGCCAATCCACATGTTTTTGAGGCCATTCATTTTTTCAACAATGTTAATTTATTTTCCTTATCAAGTAGACGTATAAATATTTCCACCGTGGGACTTCTCCCTGGAATTAAAAAATTAAATGATATTTTCCCTCAAGTTAATTTATCCTTCTCTTTACATTCTCCATTTTCTGAAGAAAGAGACAAACTTGTACCCATTAATAAATTGTTTCCTTTCCACGAGGTGTTTGATTTGCTAGACAGTAGAATAGAACGGACAGGCAGACGCGTGTGGATTAGCTACATCCTCCTTAAGGATGTGAATGACTCCAAGGACCACGCAGAGGCGCTTTGCAATCACATACACCAGCGCCCCCGCGCCGTCAGGTACCTCTACAATGTGTGTTTAATTCCCTACAACAAAGGTACCCTTCGTGCTTGCGCGATGTACTAGACGTGCGCTACAGCGGCAGCGTCACGTCTTCACTGCGTCACTTTTCATGTTACTACGGTAGTATGACCTTGCACGCTTTCCTTGGACATTGTATATCGCCCCTCGGTGCCCCCACACCCCCTGTCAGCAAAAAATGTTGAAGAGAACTTCCACAGAGTGGACGAGGAAGACAAAATCCTTCAGTTCGAGGTAACCTCATTTGTCACCCCATCATCTTAACATCCCCCTAGTCTATTTTGCACCCCATTATACCACTTTTTATTTATTTATTCTTTTTTGCCCACTTATTTTTCTATTTTCAGAAAGTGTTGAGGAAGCATGGAATATCATTTTTCTACAGGTTCAAAATGGCAGGAATGTGGAGCAGACAATTTGTCTTCCCATGAAAATGACAATTGGCCCTTTTCTATAACGTGGCATGTTTGAGGGGAGCGCTTAAATTATTGTCTTTTATTTATTTTTTTTTTTTTTTTGTTCCAATTTTTAGGAATTCCTTCGGACTCTCCATCGACGCAGCATGCGGTCAGCTGTATGCAGGTAATGTGATAACACTGGAACACCGCCCGTTCTGTGCGCTCCCCTATCTGAACGGACACACCAGGAGGGGTTCCCATAAACGTCAAAACGACCCCCTTAACAACTGACACTGCCCACCTGGTTCACTCTCTGTAGGTTACGAGCCGAAAATGAGGAAAGAAGCAATAGGAGTTCGGAATGCTCCATTATTGGCACAATAAGTTAAATCCTTTTTTTTTTTTGTGAAGATTAATAAACAGACAAATGGCTCATTCAATTAGTTACATTCTCCCTTTTGTGACTCCTTCTCGCAAAGACGTGTGTATATGTATGTTTCTTTGTTTTTGTTCTTTTAACTGTCGTGCTTCTCTTCTGTGTTCACACACACGGGGGCGGAGCAACCCCACCGTTTTTCTTCCGCAGCTCCGTTGCCTCCTCACCAGGAGGTTCCTCTTTACTAACGCGTTACACATTGTGTACTTCTCTGCAAATCCAAACGGCGTCTTCCCACCTCACCATTTTGTACATAAACGCTGAACATACATAAAAAAAAAAAGGCATTGTATGCAAAAAACAAAAAAAAAAAAAAATTCACAACATGTATGTACACCACACGTTGTCACTCGCAGAGGCGTTACCAACACAGAGGTGACATCCGTTTTTCCCATTTTTTTTTCATTCTACACAAGTGCGAAATTAAGCATACGCATCATTTGTGTGCAATTGCATGTTGCCAGGCAGCTTCGATTTCCTTTTCATTTTTGTAAAGTTTGTCAAACTTCACACCTAGCGCAAGTCTGCAGAGAAGCCACATACGCAAAATTGTTCTTTGTGTCCACCATGACCATTTTGTGCACTTAGCTATCACACCAAGTGAATATCACTGCTTCTATTTTGCCCAAAGCGGTACCTGTCCCTCCTTTCTACTTTGTTTGTTCTAAAGAGAGATAAAGGTTGAAAATATTTCCACCCCCCTTTGTCAACACGCATGTGGCTATAACTGCGTCAGACATTTTTTTCGTCTTCCTCCACAGATGATAATATACCGTGTATGTATGTCCAGCCGATCGGCGTGTGAATAAACTGCAAACAAATTTATACAACGAAATGTAAAAAGCGTTTCTTCACGCCTAACGTGTACATTTTTTTTTTTTTTTTGAATAAAATATTTCTATAAGCGACTCATAAAATTTGTCCATGGTTCAGCCCCGCGTCTTATTTTTTATGTCTTTTGGCTCAATATAAACTCTGACGCCTCTCCTCGGAAACATTTGTGCAGATCCCCCCCTTTTTTTTTTTTGTCTGGGCAGATATCACCCAATTTGTAGTGCCCTCCCCCCCTTGTAAGGATAGCCCTACGTGCATGCGTAGACAACCCATAAAAGGAAGGAGCCCACACGTTTGTGTTCACAATAGAACGTACACATCCGTTCAAACATCAACGAAGAGAAAGAGACATATAGATTGCTCCAACAAAATGGTAAATACCAAGCGTTTGACAACCCTGGTGGTGCTCCCGCTGCTCATCCAGCTCCTGTTCCAAATAGCCCCCCTGAAGACCCATGCCAAGGAATGGTGCAAAGCGAAATTCGAATTCGGAAAGGCAGACTACGCAGAGTGCCAAAGTGAAACGGAAAATATCGCCAAGTACATGATACATACAACTCCTGTAATCTCCAACGATGTAGACCTCTACGCTAACGTCTCCCTAGTCATGTCCAACGGGTATGGACTCAAAACGAAAGAAATCAACATCGGAACTGAAGAAGAAGGTTTGTTAAGCAAAACATTTGCAGTCACCACTGATGTAGGAAGTCCAGAATATGTACATGTAAAATTAAATTCAGCAAAAAAAAATTGGAAGTGCAAAAAAATTACCATATGGAAACATTACAAGTACTGGAATTTTGACTGCACTGGTTTGTTAAATGAGAAGAATTCGGAGGCGACTTATTTCCTCTCAGGAAATAAAATTTACACAGCATTTGTACAAACAGGGAAAGATGTCCAAGCAGGAACAAATGGCACCGTCGAAATTGTACTTCTAGGAAATGACAAAAGGAGCAATACTAAAGTACTACACGAAGGATTCACATCTGGAGTGTTGAAGAAAATAAAATTTCAAGCATCAGATGTGGGGAATATAGAAGATATTATACTTACCAATAACGCTAGTAGGGATGATCCCTGGTACTGCGATTTTGTGAAAATCAAAAGTGACAATAAACTTTACGTCTTCAATGTTAAGAGTTGGATTGGACACCCATACGAAAAAACGGTGAAGGTTAATATAAGGGCAGATCAAAGTGTAGATGGTGGGGCACCAAAAGACATAGACTGCCACATAAGGGGAAATGATTTAATCAATATGAGTAACTTGCCTAAAGCATTACAAAGTAAGGTACAAATATTTAAAGTGAGATGTCCACAGAATTGTCAAAATTCAGAATTTTCCTCCGTAGAAGGTTCTTCCATTCATCCTTCCTCTACTTCCATTTGCACATCTGCTATTCACGATGGGTGCCTAACCCCAAGTGGAGGTTCTATCATAGTCACAGTTGGAAGCGACTTGAATCAGTACCATGCTGTTAAGGAAAAGATAAATCAAATTGAAGCGATTGATGTTCTTACAAAAGCAGATGAACCCAATTTCTCCTTCTACACATACCGATTAGAATCCATTGATGATATAAAGAGTAATGTCCGCATTGTAGATGCATTTGGAAAACTCTCATCCTTGGGGAGGTTAGAAATTCGAAGGAGTGACAACACCTGGGGTACTGTGTGCAAAAGAGGACCCAATTTTACCTTCTCTGATGATAGTGCTAAACGTGCCTGTGCAGATTTAGGGTTCTCCAATGGGATCTATATTAAACAAATGTGTTACAACCTAAATGGACAAAATTATTGTGCTGGTTATAAGTACCCCTTCAGTAGTGCTGGAATCGTATGCGCTGGAAATGAAAAAAACTTACTTCAATGCAATGCAGATGACTCTTCCCATTGTGTAGACCACCATGATGATGTCATCATTCAATGTTTAAATCAGGGGAGCAGCAAGGAATCAGTCACCGATGGGATGATCAGATTAGTCGATATAACTGGAGCCCCCAGTACCAACGGTATTGGAAGATTAGAAATGTTTTACAATGGCTCATTTGGTTCTGTATGCTCAGAAGGATGGGTAAAAGAAGGCGAAAAAATCGCTTGCAAAGAATTGGGCTATACAGGTCTAAAGGGAAATGGATTCTCTCATCATCTATGCACAAATATCGCAGGGGAAAATTTATGTGGACATGATGCAGACAAAATAAATGCTGTAAATGTCAAATGCAAAGGGGATGAAAAGTCTCTCCAAAATTGTGCACATGAAACGAGCGAAGATATTTACTGCTCTCATGATGAAGATATCGTCATTGGGTGCTCAGGTGGGGAAGAAGAAGAGTACCAAGCGGGTAGCCAAGGAAATGCAGAACAGAACTACCATGCAAACACAAATGTTGGACTTAAAAAACATTTCCTAAGTTTAGATAAAAAAAACTTCCCACGAAAAATCGAGTTAACATGTTTTGACAAAGTTGTGTCCATAGCAGATCTCAGCGCTGCAAATGTGGGAGACGTTTTCTTAGCTAGCTGTCCGGAAAAGTGTGACGAAGAAGTAGGCGTTATTAAAGGAACATTTTTATATACCTTCGATTCACCCATATGCAAAGCGGCCATACACGCGGGAGTCCTCTCAAGCAATGTCGCTGATGATGTAATTCTCATCATATCACACAAGCATCAAAACTTTGTCGGCACGAATCGGAACAATGTGGAGTCCCACGATTTTACTGGTACGTCCAAAAGCTTCAGCGTAAGTATCCCAACCAGGTCTATCATTCAAGAGGAAAGAAAGAGTAACAATAAATATGGAGAAGAAAATTCAAACAAAGAATTTTCTCATGGTGAACTGTTGCATGATCAAGGTACAGAAGAACATTCTCTCTTGGCGCCCCCGCATATTCAAAGACAAAATGGAAGACTAACTGCAACAGGGTTAGGGACACTACCAACATTTCAGTGGATACCACCAATAGGCTTCCTAGGATTTAATGGAACAGAAAATGATTTTGTTAACTGCATCAATTTGCCAAATGAGAAATATATTAAAAGCATGTCTAACTTTACCTTTATCATTTATTTCACTTTGAGCGGTGGAGGAGGCAACTGGAGGACCCTACTATCTCACAGCTTGTGTGACGGAATCTCCATTTCAGTGAACGAAGACAACGAATTGATAATTGAACAGAACTGTAATCCACACTTGTTAAAGACCAAATTCAAACCAGTCGTAGGACAAACGTACCACCTAGCAGTGGTCTATAACAAAACGAACAAAAGTGTCACCCTATACATAAACGGAAAGAAACTCACCATGGACAAGGCCAAATATGATTTTACCCTAAATGGAGATTTAATCATTGGCAGATCTAACCAAACCACAACAGATTATTTCATAGGCAGTATCCACCTCGTTGAAGTGTACAAGTTTGTTTTAGCCGATGACGAAATTAAGCAGTCAGCCAATTCTGCTCTCTCCTTGGATTACCTCAGTGGGGGAAGTGATACCAACTACAATGGTGTGGGAAAAACAAAAAGAGGAAAGAAAAAAGGTCGCAATAATAGAAAAACGGTCGATGGAAGAGAATGCATGACCCCATGTAAGCCTAAAAGTATCATCAACAAGGAACTTCAAATAAATGGAGACCAAATCAATTTATCCTGCAAAGATGATCTTTTGTCTCACCAATTTAATAGCAAAATCGGGTCACAATTTTTGGTTCATTGTGTGGATAACTGTACCAAATCGAAATTTATTGTAAAAGGAAGCAACAACTACTACACCCCAGATTCCTCCATATGCAAAGCAGCCATACATGCCGGGGTATACAAACCTAATAAAAAAAATGGAGATGACAATAACTACTTTATTCTGAGAATTGTTAATGGATTGTTTGAATATAAAGCAGCCAGAGGACACATGGGGATTGTTTCAAAATCGGAAAGACAATCTCAATTACGATCATTTTCAATTTTTGCTGAAAATGAGGATAACATTCTTACCTGATCTTCTAATAGACATTTTTAAACTTACCAGTTGGGGAGAAAAGAACAATCATATGTCCATCAGGTTGCGACAAAATGGAAGGTAAAATTTGGGGCACAAATATATACTCTCCTTCTTTCTACTCTATGCAAAGCGGCCATACATTCTGGAGTCTGATCAAATCAAGGGGGCTAGTCGACATGGCTGTTGGGTCCGCTGTGGATAAATTCACGGGCGCTACGCAAAACGGAATTGAGTCCCATTCATCCGATAGGCTAACACGCTCCTTAACATTTTCCACCCACGCCAAGTAGGACTCTTGAAAAAATGCATGGACAAATGGGATCTATTACTCACACCAGGTGCTTTGCTCTCCTTCCGTAATGGCGGTAGTAGTGCCTACATCCTGCACCCCTCATGACAACTGAACGTTGACGTGAAGCGATGCTGAGATGAAGCTACACGTCACCACCAATCTCCCTGCCCATCTTAAATTTATAAAATAATTCTTTCCCTTGTACGAAATGGGGAGGCAATCTACGGGGTATTCTTGTGCCCACCTTGTTTTCCCCTCTTAGCTAAATATTCGCACAAAATGGGGCGCAAATTAGTTTAACCGAAACGACTCAACGGTGAAACTACCAAATGTGTTTTTTTTTTCTTCTTTTTGTTGCACCTGTTGTAATGAAATATCTTTTCCTGACCTTTCCATATTCGTGGGATGTCCTCAAAAAGGGACAAGCACAAACGAACCACACACAGCAATTTTCTGCACAAGCAGAATGAAGCTTTTTTTTACGTTCGAAAAAAATGACCAAACGGAGAGCCCCTCGCAACAGGGTGTTTTGAACAGAAAATTGAGGAACGTACCAGATAATAAAAATCAGTGTCTATTCACTTCCCTGCTGCTTTAAAGAAAAAATGATTTTCGCTCAATTCAGGCGTTCTCTTTTTTTTCCGTGCCTTATTTAGACGTTGGACACGTCTGCATGAAGGGGTCCGCTTTGCCCATCGTGCGTTTTTCAGGGTGACTTGTTTTTCGCGCAACTGATGGGAAATATTGAGGCGTGAACTCCTGCACTCTAATATGGTCCATTTTCCCATTTCATGCTTAACATTTGTCATGTTATTATTATCTGCATTTTTTTCTTTTTTTTTTTGTTTCACTGTTGAAAGGACACCTGTCAGGGTTAGCTCGTTACGATTCCTTCATGTGGATGTATCAGGACGGGGGACAACTGTCATTCCCATCGTACCTTGGAGCGGAAAAAAATTGTTGCCAAATCGGTCAACCTTGTGCGCCGCGAACATCACCGTCTGATCTACCAACTTGTCGCTGAGCAGCCGCTTGGTGACCATATGACGTTGTACCCCTTATGTAAAATAAAGCAAAATTTTGAACAAAAAAAAAAAAAAAATAAATAATATGCGTATACATATATATATGTATACATATTTGTGAGGAATATGAATGGGACAGTTATTTCCACAGAAGCACTTGTACATACATTTAAATTGCTACTCAACTTGACGCGGTAGCAATGCGCCTTTGCAACGCTCACTTTGCTGCATATACATTAATGAATATTCTCTGGGGTGGCTTCCTTGGGACCGAAAAAAAAAAAAAAGAGCAATTTTTTTTGCGCATCTCCTTACTATTTCCTTTCCCCAATTTGAAAAAAAAAAAATAATAAAATAAAGGAAATATAGCATCAGTCCACCAAGCATCCAACCGTCACGGCGCCTACAAAAAAATACATAACATAATATAGCGTATGTTATATATTATATTATATAGTTGTGCTGATCGAGGAAGATACAACAATTTCCCTTAATGAAGAGACTGCTCGGAAACAAAATTACTTTTAATAAAAAAAAAAAAAAACATAACAATTTAGGATTACGTACCCAAAGCGGCAAAAAAATATAGAACATGCAAAAACCACAACGTGAACCGCTGTGCTTAGGCTGAAATGAAAATTGGGGTTCTTTAACGTGGCCACATGGATAAAACGATGTAACCCAAAAATATTATCATCCTTAAAAGCAGCAGTGGAGGATTGTACTCGTCCAACTTTTTACGCCATTTTCCTCAAGGCTGTGTAATAAGCGCAAAAAGGAATATATATATATATATAAACGACGAACTGCTTTTCTATTTGTTTTAATTTTTCCCCACTTGGCGCGCGACTTAACCCTTGCGCAAGCGCTTGTATATGCAGCATACATAAAACGCGCCAACATATTATAAGAAGAGCTGTCAATCAGAATAGAATCATACGTGCTGTTGTAAAGCTTGCTAATATTGGAATACATATTTTTACGCGGACTCAAAATGACAGGTATTTTAAAACAATTAAAATAAAAGTCAACAACGGAGGAATAATATACAGTGGCAATTTTTGTTGCGACGCATTTTTTCTCTCCTCAGCGCTGCATAATATTATGCCCCCGTTTTTTTTTTTTTTTTTTTTTTTTCCATTTTGCAATTAAAAAGGGAATTCTTTTTATACGCGTTTTTTTGTTTAATATGGACACGTACAGCTGTGGCAGTTGTACCGTCTACATGTGCGCAGGCACACCTGTTCATCACCTTCTCACTTGTTTAACTTCTTCACCCCCCCTTTGTTAGACGCATTTCGAGGTGGATCTGGGAATTTCAAAAAAGGCAACAAGGATTTCAAGAAAGGGAACAACAACAATAACAATAATAATGCCGTGCGTAAGGGAGGCATGTGGAAAGGCAACAATGGAGGACGAGGCGGAGGGGGCCCAAGAGGTGGCGGAAGAGGTGGAGGTGGCGGAAGAGGTGGAGGAGGAGGAAGAGGTGGTGGTGGAGGAAGGGGTGCTAGAGGAGGCGGAGGAGGAGGAGGAAGATTTGGTGGAGGAAATAATAACAATAAAAAAAATTTCACAAAAGGTGGAAAATCAGGAAAAGTTATTGTAGTACCACATAGATTCCCAGGAGTTTTTTTACTAAAAGGAAAGTCAGACATCCTTGTAACAAAAAATTTAGTCCCCGGAGAAAGTGTGTATGGAGAGAAAAGATACGAAGTAATGGGAGACAATGAAAAAATAGAGTACAGAGTCTGGAATCCATTTCGTTCAAAATTGGGTGCTTGTTTAATGGGTGGAGTTGGTAACATGCCTATCAAACCAGGCTGTAAAGTTCTTTACCTGGGAGCAGCAAACGGAACGTCCGTATCTCACGTGTCCGATATGGTCGGCGATGAAGGAGTTGTTTATGCAGTTGAATTCTCTCACAGATCAGGAAGAGACTTAACCAACATGTCAAAAAAGAGGTCCAATGTGGTTCCCATTGTAGAAGATGCTAGACAGCCAATTAAGTATCGTATGCTAGTGGACATGGTGGACGTCGTTTTTGCTGATGTCGCACAGCCAGATCAAGCACGTATTGTTGCTATGAATGCTCATATGTTTTTAAAAACTGGAGGATGGTTCATAATATCCATTAAGGCCAACTGTGTTGACTCCACTGCCAAACCAGAAGTCGTCTTTGCCTCAGAGATGGAGAAATTGAAAAAGGAAAGTTGTAAGCCGAAGGAAAAACTAACGTTGGAACCCTTTCATCGTAATCATGCTATCGTTTTGGGCATGTATAGGTAAAAATTCACAAAGGCTTAAACAGGGGGGCGGGGATGTTTTCTCACATCAGCGTCAACCCCCAGTGTTTGTAAATAAATGTATCAATATCGTGGGCGGGATAAACTTATCCAACACCACGCACAGCTTGGGCTGTATCACGATCCTTATTTGAGATTTGAAAAAAAAAAAAAAAAAATACGAGCAAACCAGGAATGACTCACGCAGACGACAAAAAAGGGGGGTAAACAAAATATAAACTACCGTATAAGTTTACCTCGAAAGGAGGCGAAAATGTTTTCATGTTTCTACCCCGTCGCATTCCCACATGCACAGTAATGTAAAATTATTTTTACTAACCCGAATGCGACAAGAAAGATGTGTAACTTGGTGCATTTATTTGTTCAATTCGCAGCAACTTTGTTATCGCCGATGAACACACACATGTTCACGTCCCACGTACGCGTTCGAAGCGGATTTCAACCATCCCGCCTCTCAACTCCCCCCTTGTTTTTAATATTGCATTTGTATGTGTAGTGTATCAACTTTGCACATTAGAAGGACACCACTTTTTATCGCATTACCCATTTTGCTCACATGTGTGCGCAGCTTTTTTGTTAATCAGTATGTTTTCTTTTTTTTTTTTTTTTTTTTTCCTCCCCGTGACAATAACATTTTTTTCATTATTTTCCTCCCCCGTGGGATCACTAATTTTAAAGTATGCAACTTTTCTCATTTCTTATTTACAATATATGCTAACCTTTTGATCGCATCGCTGAGGAGAAAAAGTGCCCCCCGCCTCAAATTGGCGCTGCAGCTGAGGGAGTGAAGAATGCGGATGGATGTATTAACTGCCCATATAAACGGGTGTGTATGTTACATACACAGTGGCTCACTCCCCTGCAGGAAGCAACCACGGAGACACAGGAATGAAATGGGTTTACACAAAAATGCTTCTTCTAAAGGAGCTCAAAGGAAAAAAAAAAAAAAAAATTATCAGTTCAACATTGGCACACACAAAAAAAACATTTTTAAAAGCGTACTACATAAAAAATTGCAAATGCATCGTCTTTAACAACGTATACGAAAAAAAAAAAAGAAAAAAATTAAATAGCATGCCAAAATGTGTTTGACATTGCATTTTTATGGGACCCTCCACATGTGTTTCCTGTTATGCCCTTTTACTATGCCTTGGTCTCCCTTGGAAACCCCAATTTGTCTTTTTCCTTCCATCCCGTAATGAGTATTTGCTGTGGAAGAAAAATCGGTTAACACAAATTTAAGCGCGTGTTGCAGGGGGCATAATTGCAAATTGCGGCCACTCTGTGAGTGCCCTTCACCAAGCACACTTATGCGCCACCTCTTGGCCCACTCGACCCGTCACAACGTTTTAATAAATCTATTCGAAATAACATTCGAAGTTATCATCACCAATATAATTAAAATAATGACGAGGGAAATTCTGCAACACCAGGTCGTCTGCGAATGCTTTTTCATGACTTTCTTAATTTCCACATTAACTTCTTTCACATTATTTTGCGTCTTATCAGTGTGGTCCTGTAAATCTAGGATTATTTCGTTTTGTTCGTCCGCCTTGTTCGTTATAAAAACGGCATTGGCTCCTATTCGATCTATGACTTCTCCGATTTTCAAAATTTCCTGGTTAAATCTTTTATCTCTTTCTTTCCACCTGTTTATTATGACCATGTCATCTTCATCGTCAATGTTGTTGCTCGTTTCTTTTCCTGCAAATTGGGGGGGAAAAAAAAAAAAATGTCATAGACGCACAGAAGAGCGAAAACCGTCACCCCATCTGATAGTATGCCTCCCACACCACGCGAGGGAGGGAGGTGTGTGTGGGGGGGAAGGGGAAAAAAGAACATTATCACACTTACTTTCCACCTGCTGCTTATTTTTGAAATCGGAAAAGTCCATAACACAAGTATCCTTAATGTGGTCATAATTGCTCAACTTCTTGCATTCATAAATTTGCTTTTTTAACAACTGGAAGGTTTCATTTTTATCATATAGTTCTTCCTTGCTGTAGGTATATTTTTTCTTCTCCTGCTTTCTTAGGATTTCTTCTAACTTTAAAAAGTACGTATCCAAATTTTTCATATTGTTATATATAATGTTACCCCTTTTTATCACCTCGATGTTATTCCCATGCACATTTTGTAAGCTTTCCTTTTCCCTTATGCATTTTCTGGTTTCATCAAGGACATTTAAAATGTGTACTTTAAGATCACTAAATGGGTCCACATTTTTCTTCTCAATTTCTATCCTTTCGTCTGTCTTCACTTCTGTTTTACTTTTCAGATCTTCCAACTTGTTTCGTATATTTTCTAAATCGCTCGTCTCATTTCGCCTGTTTTCATACGCCTTTTTGTTCTTACTCCCCTTATTCATTCTTGGCCACGCTAGTTTGCGACGTGTTGGGTATGTATAATCATATGTCGCTGCGACTGTATGTAATGCGATCCCATATGCGCAGGCACACACGTCTGTACTATTCAAACACGTTTATCTGATAGCGGGGAGGGGGAGTGCCAGCAGACCGTCTCCTTTCGGCTACACTTTAAAAAGAGGGACAAAATTGCATGCGAAAAAACATGGGCGGGAAGAAAGAAACACGGAGATTTTGTGCTTATTCATATTGGTAAAAGTGGCGCCAAAATGGACGAAATGGAGCGAAACGGGAACCAAGTAATGGCAAAACAAAATCGCTGGGGTGCCGGGAAAAATCAACGCCACATTAGCACATGCGACATGGGCACAAACGACACATAAACGCATACATCCGTATGTACGTACTATGCATGGTGACAGACAGGGCGCGACAGAACTGTATACGCGCTCAGATCGTCAAATGCAAACATTTGCGCGTAAACATGTGCCACATTATCTGTGCTACCCAAAATGGCTTCGAAAGGTTTGTCAAACAGGGCAACAATTGTGAGCGCCACGCGAGGGAGAAATTTTCCGCGGAAATTTCTAAAGGGCCAAAAAAACACACAAATGGGCAAATACCAATTTCTGCAAAAAAAAAAAAAAAACAAACAAAAAAATGCATACACCTTATTTTACGCCCATATGCGTACAAGATATATTTTATACGTAAGTGCCATCAAATCCGATGTAGGACCCTCTCAACAAGAATAATAATAAAAAAAAAAAAAAAAAAAAAAAAAAAAAAAAAAAAGGGGAAAGCGCACGTCTCGCAAGCAATATACTTTCATATATGCAGCTGGGTCGGGCAAAATAGAATATGTACCACTTCGCCTTTTTGCCAATACAGAAAGTTTGTGCTGCATCCCTCAAACAAATCCCCAACTGCATGAAGAAATTTACGGCGCTCATAAACTCCCCATACGTGTATTATATAAACGCATACTTCGGCACATGCTGATGTTTGTGCGTACTCACTGCAAGCAATTCGTGCTCCTTCGCCATTAGTGAAAGTGCTCCTTTTTTTTTTTTTTGTTTATTTTTGGATGAACGAAGCATGAATGCAGGCTCTTTCCTGTTATCCATTATTTTCCCTCATCAATTAAAACGATGACATATGGGGCTGGCATTTAGCGCAGTGGAAAAACTGCATATCATTTTGTGAAAAATATGCCATTGTAGGAAGACATACAAATTGAGGAAAAGGCAAATTATAAGGCTTTGCCTTACCTTGATGGACATGAACTGCTAGCCATTTGGTCCACACTCCTAATCCACATTATGTTCCAGCTCGTGCATATTTTTCTTCGCCCTCCCTTTTTTTTTTTTTTTTTTAAACGCCTGTGTTTGTACCTTTAGAAAACATGATTGACAACATTAGAATTCTTCTTCTTGTTTATCCTTCCCACATGTTGTAAAAATTCGTTACACAGCAACGTTGCCCATGAATATATCATGTACATTACGCATGGCCCTATGGGACGTGTTGTCAATATGCACGATCTTTATTGTATAATACGCATGCACGACGCGCCCCCTGATGCGTAACAGTGTTGTGTTTTCTTCCTTTTTTTTTTTTTTTTTTTTTATAACGTGTTAGATGCCTCGTGTAGCTAACCCCCATGCTTTGCTTTTCTACTCCCCGTGTGCATAGCAGTTTCATGTGGGGAAGACGTCTACATGCGCGTACGGAGTAGTGCTCGTGTGCATACGTACGTTCGTGCCATTCGTATACACCTGAGAGCGTCTCACACGTTCGCCTAAGTAGGGACCACAGCACAGCTCACCTTTTCCTGTCATTACGCCGCGCGCAAAAACAAAAACAAAAACAGAACCAAATGAGCACCCTATATTTGCGTACAAAGGCCCACGAATGAGGAAAACGGCCACTGCAAAAAACAAAATACAGCTGTAGTATGGTGGAGGTCTTAAATGGTAGCTGCCAAGCCTTTAATTTTTTCAAAGGGCAATTATTAGGTTTGCTCCGTTTCATTCTCCCCCATTTCATTTGCGGCAATCGGTTCACCCCGTTTCGCTTGCGTCGCTTGGCTCACGCCATTCTCTGCTCCCCCTTCCCTTTTCAACGCGCAGCCACACAATGGACAACCAGCAGAACAATGCAGACTACGCTGCTTCATACCCACCGAACGTGGCCAGTCAGCCCGGTCAACCCACTCCACCGGGTCAACCCACTCCACCGGGTCAACTCACTCCACCCAGTCACCGCCCACCCAACCAACCCAACCCGCTGGACCAAAATGGCATAAACAATCAGATGTACGACTACTACTACTACAACAATAACCCCGATGGGTCTATGGGAAACAAGATGGGTTATAATACTATGCAAGGAGGAGACGTCCCCTACGACGGTAATACTTGCATGAGAAGCCAACCACAACTTTCACCTCACCGTTGCTGCTATGTTAACGTCTCGAATTACTGCAACACTCACCACACATATCATCACCCCTCTTTTCACAAACGACGCAGGAAACTATTCCATGAATTACGGATACATGAACCCGTCCTTCTATCACATGAACAGTGGAATGCACGCTATGGGTAGTATGATGAATCCATACAGTAACGCCATGAGTAGATTTCCAAGCAGAATGGAAGAACATCCTAATAGCTACAGATATAACAATTTAGACCATACCTTTAGTGGGGGTATGAAATATAAAGTGGGTGTAAATAATGCATCTAGTAGCTCCTTCCATTCATCTGTATCTAATTATAACAATGAAGAAAAAAAAAACATACTTGAAATGACAAACACTACAACGTACAATGTAAATATGTTACTCAGGAATAACATTTTATCATCCGAATACTTCAGATCACTAATTCCACTGAAAACATTGAAGGAGGTCATAGAAGAAATTCATTTATATGCTGACCATGTGGAACCCTACTGCGCTGGAAGTACAAGGGCCCCCTCGACTCTGTTCTGCTGCCTCTACAAGATGTTCACCCTGCATTTGTCGGAGAAGCAGGTGAGGCATGAATATTCATATGGCAATGCTGGTGGAAACAGTTACCACTAGCTACGTGTGGGGCTATATATACCACAGTCAATCTACTTCATGTGAACGATGGTACTAATATGTTACCTGATTAACGTGTAGCTTATAATATTTCCTCACAATCACACCATCGTTACATCATGTCCCTCTTTTCTCTCCTCCAAACAGATGAAGATGTTGATCGAAAATCGTGACTCCTGCTACATACGAGCTTGCGGATTTTTGTATTTGAGATATGTCCACGCGCCTTCCAATGTTAGGAATGAAAGAAAAGAACCACCACTCCCTCAACAGATTACATATTTTTTCCATGGGGGTTGGGATGCTGCTTATCCGCATCGATATGTCTTTGCGTTATATGCATGCCGCATTCCATCAACGTCCTTTTTTTTTTTCCCCCCCCCTTTGTAGCTGTGGATGTGGTTTGAACCCTACCTCCTGGATGAAGATGAGTTTATCACATCAGCCGATAAACGAAAGAAGCAGACGATAGGCGAGTACATTCAGAGCCTCCTGGCGGACGATAAATATTTCAACACAGGTTCGTATAATGAATGGTTTTATTTGGGTCCTGCAATCCAGTTGGGCTGCGTCAACGATAAAGAGGGGAAAACTCGTTTGTACGTATGTTGAGCGTGTACATCTCGCTTGTGTACTGGGCCCATATGTACATACGTCTACACTCCACTGTGCTCCCCCTCACCCCTTGCAGTCCTGCCGAGAATGCCCATCAAAATAAAAAACACCTATGGTGCACGACTCATGTTGATGAGTGACCATAGGAGGAGGCTCAGAAGGAACAAGGAGAACATGCACAAATTTGTCAAGGGAGAACCCATTATGGCCTATGTCAAGTAAGTGAAGCGCGCATATGTGAGACCACAAAGAGGGGGCCAATCCCATATGAGAGCTCTATCATGTGCCTATATAATTTCGTTCAACAGGTGTCTCCACGGAGCGCAGTAGCTCACCTGCTCGGACCCAAACCACAAATAGTCTATACAAACTGTGGGTGTTACATGTGTGCATTTTTTTTTTTTGTACTTTTATTTACTTCTTTCTTTTCCTTGGTGTCCACCTCAGCGGCGAGTGGGAGAAGGGCGAAATAGGAGGCATCGTGAATCACGGAAAGGAAAAGATTTTCGTTCGAATCAGAAAAATTGATGGAAATGAAAAGCTCGTTAATATGGGATACGTGAAGCTGGGCTCGAAGGAGACCGACAGGAAAGGGGACACAGCAAGTGAGGATTCTACGGAAAGGAGCCGAATGAGAAATGAAAAAACACACAGAAGGAGTAGCAGAAGTAGGAGCGGCAAAAGAAGGAGGCGAAGAAGCAGAAGCAGGAGCAGAGACAGGTGCAGCAGCCGGCATAGAGGTAGACACAGGAATAGGAGTCGCGATCGGGATAGAAGCCGAGACCGGGATAGGAGTCGCGACAGGGACAGACGCAGAAAGAGACGAACCAGTGAAGAACGGAACGATAAAAAATACTCCTCATACGACAAATCGCATAGAGACCACCGTGATAGGTCACCCACAAGACGTGGAAGAAAACCCTACGAAGAATCGCACAGGAAAAAGGACATGTCCTCATCCAGATCGTCCAGGTCCTACAGTTCCGGAGAAGACGATAAAACACATAGAAAAGACAAGTACGAAATTAATGAAAACGAATTAATTAACAAATTTAGAAAAATGGAAAGCGAAAAAGCACTTGCTACTGGAAAGGATTATGCTCGAAGACCCACATCATACAAATCCTCTCTGACCATAAGGGTCGAGAATATTCACACGAGAAAGAAATCCATTTCCAGATCTCCAAAAAGAATAGACAAAACAGTGAGTCATTCACACAAGGATGAAAAGGGTACTGAAAATTCTGCGATGGAAAATACCAAATTGATGCAGCTAATGCAAAAGTATAACAGACAGGACGATGATGAGGCGAAAAATAAAATGAACGTAGGGGATATGGATGAAATGGATGTCATGACGTTGGGATAAATCGTCCGCAATAAAAATCCTTCTCACTAAATTTTGTTTTGTTTTCCTTTTTTATCTGTCATCCTTCATGTGGGAAGCGTCAATAGATAAAAGCCTTTCTTCTTACCTTTCCACTACCCACACTTTGACATTTGTAAAAGGGGGTAAGTTTTCCACAAAAAAAAAAAAACTACCCTCTCTTAATTGTGCATACAATTGTCTCACCACAAAGTTCAATCCAATTCGATGTTTATACAAGACTGCCTTACTTCACGATGTCTGTTTCATCATTCAGGGCGCTTCGTGTGCCCCCCTTTAGAAGCACTCGTCCATTTATCTACCCATCATCGTATGCGTACTCGCGTGCACATACGTGCGCATCCTATACCTACCCCAGGGAGGTAAATTCAATGATATATTTTTTTTTTTTGCGTATCACATAATTTTGCACAAATAAAAAACAGTTGCATTTAAATTTTGAATTCGAAATGTTTAAAGTTTTTAGAAAAATGGAAAATAATTCAACGCTTGTTATTCTTTTTCTTTTTTCTTTTACTTTTCACGTCAAGGGGTGAAAATAAACGAATGGACGGAAAAAAAAAAAAAAAAGGGAATCTATAGGAAAATTTTCAATTCGATTTTTCAAATTTGAAACGAGGCATGGGCAGGTACAGCAAAAAGGGAGACAACAAAAAAAATAAAAAAATAAATAATAAAAAATAAAAAGGGTAAGAAATTTAGATCCTCGCGAAGGACGAGGGGAAGAAATGGCCGCACAGAGCGGTCGAATAAAAAGTATGGGAAGACGCAAAAAATCAAATACGTAGAAAAAGAATGACACAAAAAAAAAAAAAAAAAAAAAAAAGAAGCTTCACCTTTTCCTATTGCTAATGCTTACACGAATTGTAAATTATACACTTATTTTATGGTGAAGAACCAGTCCTTTCATTTCAGATGACACCTCACATTTGCATTCACTGTGGGTTCTCCTTCACTTTGCCCTTTCTTCCGATCCAATCAGTCCTCCAGTTAACACCGCTCCAATGGCTTAGAACATATATTTTCGTACAATGAATACGTGGATCATGAGCTGCATTCCACATAACACAAGCACACTCACACACGCACGTGTATAGGTTATCGTGACTACTTCGTGCCGCATTGTCCTACACACCTTGTTTTGCATGGGCATCCTCGCAGGCATGCATACCCTTACTAGCGCTGTTATTCCTTCTTGAGATTTTATTCATATGTACCTGTTTCAACAAACTGTTTATTTTTTCATAATACTTATTTTTCATGTGATTGTATTTCTTGTTTCTACAACTTCCTTCATCTTCTACGGTGTGGAAATGGGGGTGTTCCCTTTTTAATAAAATGGATTCCTGTTTACTTGGGCCATTGCTATGATCCACATGTGTGTGGATGCTCCTTTTAATGGTGCCGGTTTCGTCCCCGGAGGAGTAGCTGATGGGCGGTGCAGAGCAGGACGCTGCGTCATTCGACGACGCGACGCAGGGACGACTGAGTGTGTCGCTCCCATCGAATTCGTTGAAAAAATTCAATAAATTTATTTTTCTTCTCTTTCCATTTTCTTCTATGTGAAAGAAATACAATCTATCTAATTTTTTTTTTTGCTCTATATCATCTTCCACCTTTTTGCAAGAGATTTTATTAAAATCAAAAAACACTGGCACGGTCGCCCATCCATTAGTGTTTAATTCGCCATCACAATGACATGCCACTTTAGCCTTTTTCGTGCTACACAACGTGTTGTTCATGAGGATATACCTTTTCATTTTCGATTCGGCGAGGCTTAAGAGGCAGGCACATTTATGCTAGCAAATGGGGAAGTGGCGGAAAGAAAAAAAGAAGAAAAAAGAGGGAAGAAAAAAAAAAAAAAAATTCTACATATAACACGCATCGTGCGTACACACCACATACATGTTCCAGCTTGAGATCGTTGCAACTTTCAGTCACATCTGTTTTCTTCTTCCTTTACGTGACGCATTCGTTCACAGTTGATGTCCAACCCTAATGGTTATATAGCTGTTCATATCCCAGGTATATACACAGGAGTAAAAATCTAATGCACATAGAATAAACTGGAGGACGAATATAAATACTTTTTTTTTTTTTTTTGTATCCTCCTCCATACAAGTTCATTTTATATGCATATAACTGTTTGGCAAACACTAGCTACTCCATATGTTACGTGTAATTTATATCTAATTTGAAAATTTAAAAAAAAAAAATTCGTGCCACCTGATCATTCGTAATTCATAATTTGACATACGTATTTATAGCAGATCGGCGATAGGGTCGCAGCGCAATAACGCGGTGGTGATATGGTACAAAAAAAAAAAAAAAGTGTACACATGAATACATTTATATGTATATGTATATATGGCCTCCTTTTCACGCGTGTGCTGAAGCAGGAACCTCTGTGGTGTATAGCCAGGGCAAACAATACGGCGTATACTCATCGCGTATGTGTTTTTATACGTCACGGATACGGATACGTGTAATTATGCGTACGTGTACCGTGCGCGGTTTGCCAAACTGATACAGACATTCCTTGTTTAAAAAAGGAGGCATAAATTAAAAAAAAAAAATAATTCTTAACAAGGGGTGAACGAGCATACGGGGTAGTTAAAATCGTTAGCGCAAAAACGTAAGTGTTTTCGTACATGTTTCGCCTGCCTGGCACTATGCGCTCATTTCGTCCGTCCATACATACGCACGCTCATAACCACAGCATGTTTGCTTCAGAGAAGCAATTTTTTTTTTTTTCTTTTTCCATGCCTCAAGAAAAGCTATTGCTTCTCATTCGTATAAGAAAAAAAAGTAAAACGAAAAAAAAAAAAAATAATATAATATAATTTATGGATTAGCTTTTTATGAAGCTATTTCTTAAGAATTCTCAATTTGCTCATTTTTAATTTGTTCAATAATAAACATTTACATTTAATTTTTTCATTTTACTAATTTTTTTTTTCTTTCCAATTGTAATTAACAATTTGTAGAAAAAATTTACGTTATTTTATTTATTTATTTTTTTTTTCTGTCCCAAATTGATATAGCACAATTTTTTTTGCAAAAAAAAAAAAAAAAAAACAAAAAGAGGACAGACGACAAAAAATTGTTTTATAATTGAGTAAGACACCCCGAATCTTTCTCGTGACTTTTGATATGCAAGGATGAGACTTCTTACCCATAACTTTTTAAAATGGTACGTTTAAGAAAACAGAAATCTTGGGCCAAGTTAGCGCTTGGCCGTGCACAGGTGTACAATATGTTATTGTATGCGCATGTTGTGTCTGGAAGCAGCCCCACAAAGCGTGCGCAAGAGCGTATATATAATGCATATGTACATGTATATATATTATATACATGTGGAAGTTCTGTATGTGCACATAAGCATCGCCTAACGCTCGCGCGCACCACTTATACGCTCGTTCCCCCCGTTCAGCAACGAAACCCAGTGCGATGGAGGATACCCGCTTTCACTAGTACTGAACAGTGACGCGGAAGAAAATATGAAAATAATAGAACAAGAAATTAATGTAGAGTTTGTAAAAAATGTTTTAACGAAAGTGGACTATGACGTTCTTTATCAAACGGCCACACAGGTACATGTCTCTCATTGCATTTCCTTCTTTTTTCTTTTTTTTTTTTTT